TTTTTTAAAAAATGTTGTTTACCATTCAAACCAGTGACAGAAATTTCAAGAAAGCGACAAATACTAAAAAAGTGATAAAAATTCAAAAAAAGAAAAATTGATAAACACTAAAAAAAATTACAAGAATTCAAAAAAATGACAAACGCTTAAAAAGTGACAAAATACGTATTACAGCAAGGACAACTAATAAAAATACCCCTAAAATTAGGGATCTTACAGAAAATCATATCAAAAGTATTATGAAATTTGTGATTGAAAAATAACATACATCATGAAATATGTTATTAAAAATGAATCTGAAAAATGAATTTTTGAAAATAGGGACTAAAAAACATCCCATTTCTTGATACAAGTAGGTTTCTACCCTGACAATTGACGCAAAGAATTTTTTGCGTCGATTTATTTATTATTTATATTTCGAAAAGATTATTTATTTCTTACTAAACATGAAGAATTTGACAATTTTCAAAGCAAAAAGTAGCATTATTAATTACGAATTAATCTACTTATATAATATGTTGAGAATATTTGATGTGACAAAATTTAAACAGTTGATTTGAAAAACTGTTTTAAATTTTTTTAAAATTGATGAATGTGATATTAGTGTCACAAATATAATTAATCATCATTGTACATAAAGCATGATTGATTAATTATGACCTATCAATCTTTGTGTCAGTTTTTTATTTTTTATTATTATTATTTTTTATATTCAGGTGTCCGTCATACAGCGATTAATCCTGAGACCTATGATCCAGCCCCTCTTCACGCGGACCAATCAATTTTTTTATTAGTTATATTTCAACTAGACTTTTCGTTTCTTACTTCAACTTGAAGAATTCTGCAATTTTCGGAGCAAAAAGTAGCAAAGATTGGCAAGGCTCTCTTTGATCACATTCTCAAAAAAAATAAAAAATAAATAAAAATAATATATATATATATATTCTTAAATCACGATTTGATATCATTTTAATTTTCAATCACACATTCTTCAATAAAATAATATTAAAGATAAATTCAAAACTTTTTCTTATTTTTAACCACACATTTTCCATTAATATGTTATTCAAAAATGCATTCTTATTAAAATAATGTAGCTCAAGCAAGGGCTTAATTTCATTTTAGATCGAAATAGTTTAGACTATTTTTGAACTCCAATTGTGTTTAAAAGAAAAAAAAAGTTTTGTAATAGTGAATTTTTCAAAATGTATGATTAAAAGGTATAGAAGAAGATTTACATGTAAATTATTTTACTAAAAGATGTCAAAAATGAATTTAAAAAAAAAAGAAATTTTTAATAATCAGGGGTTAATGATATTAAAACTTTTAAACATATTTGGTTCAACTTAAATTATGCGGAAATGAGAGTAGACAAAATACTAGACGACATGGTATAATATTCGAAAGTGCCATTTTTTTAAAAAGAAATATGACAAAACATTGTGAAATGTTTATGAAATCTGTATGTAGTTTTATAATAACTAATCCAAATACTAATTAACAGTTAACTTTATGTAGTATAATCTAATCAAGCTTTTTGATTATTTTAGTCAACAGCTTCTTTTAGGTTTATTAAAAGAGTCGACTCAAGCTACTCGGCTTGATCCAACATGTTAGTGGCTCGATCCAAAATGCTGTCAGCTTGCTCACATGTGAGGCGAGCAGCGCACAAGCTGGTTCTGTACTAAACATCTAAAAGCTTGACAATTACATAATTGCCCTTGTTTGAGCCCCATTTTTGCCAAGAAAATATATTCTTGAATAGTGTAATTATGTGAAATGTGTGGTTAAAAAATAAGAAAAAATTTTAAATTTTCGTGTAACATTATTTTATTGAAGAATTTATGGTTGAAATGATATCAAAACACTGTTTAAGAATGTATTTTTTCAAAAAATAGGGTTCAAACAAGGGCAATATTTAAAACGCAGAGAACGATATAATATTTAAAGAGATACAAAAAAGATTGATAAAACATGAGTTAGTAAGATCTATGATTCTATATCACTCATTTCAAAATCAAATTTTGAAATCAAAACAAATTAACGACCTAAATCTTGCAAATAACTATTTTATCAATAAATTTTGTTTACCTACTTTGTACAAATAGATTAATTGATACGACAAAGCCATTCTCACGATTTACACAGCAACATAGTCCATCATTAAAGTGATTTGATTTTGATGTAACAATCAACCCCATTATTCGAGTAGGGCCATTGTCTTTCAAGTTTCACCAATGCAATTTGAACGGTTAAAATTTTACCCTAATTTTAACCTAACAAGAATAGGAATGACACCATTAATCTCACTGCAGACACAGCAGCACCGTTATCTTTCACCAACGTAATAACAGTTGAACCTTTGTCCTCCCCAGCCCACAGCATCGATAATTTAGCCTCCTTTTGGGAAAGTTATAAATTATAAATAGATATATTTCGCAAATTTATAAATAAAATAATCATAATCAAACAAAATATATGAATAAATACCAATTATGATGCTATTTACTTTGATTGTATCACCAACATGATCTTATACTGCAATTCAATTTTCCATTTTTCCTTTTTGGGGCTTGTCAACTTCTGTTAAGGCAGCTTTTGTATATGCATTTTTCACTCGAACATCTCGAAATACATATTTCAAGAAGCAATATCAGAATAATAAATCGCATATAAACAATATGGAACACAGATCTGACAACTTCGATAAAAGTTCGAGAAACTAGCAAAATACCACAAACGCAATAAACAAGAACTGTAAAAATTTCCCCCAAAAAAAAGAAAAAATACAGATTACAGATTACAGAATCAAGAACTCAGTGACCTGTATATACATGGACTCCAATGGCAATAAGGAAAATAGTGATTAACCCAAAGAAAATGATAGTATGAACTAAAATAGAAAGACCACTTGTATGCATATTTCCAAATTCAATTACTGTGTTCCTCCCCGGAATCTGACACAGCAGCCCCGGAGTCAGCAGCACGAACAGCACCACCGCTATCACCACCGGCCCCCAATCTGCCATTTAATTTTTCTATCCCTAGAACTCTCTCTCTAGATCTCTAAATGAGCAGCTGTGACTATAATTCACGCGGACACATTATTAGTTGTACAATGGAAATGGGGTGGTGGGGACGGGCGAAGGAAGTAGTACGTACGTGGCGAAAGCACGTGAGAGCGTAGCATATGTCTCTTGCTATTGAATAATGTTAAGCGGTATTTTCAAAAATATCCAATTTTTAAATTTAGTACTAAATTATCTATTATGTCCTTAATAAAAAATGAAGCAATTAATTTTTTTTTTCAACTTGTCGGGATTTCGAGAAGTAGCTTCCATGAAAATGTACATTAAAATATATTCTTCACATTTCCAATGTTGTTCTCGATATTTAAACCCGTTTATATTTCAAAATTACACATGTCAAATCACAACATTAAATGTTCTCGACATTTCAAATGTTGTTTTCGACATATTAGATATCTAGAATGACATTTTATTCCGAACATGACATTTCTCTATATTTGAAATGCAGTTCTCAACATTTCTGTGTCAATGAGAAAAATAACATTTATTGTAATTTGGCGTGTGCACTTTTGAAATAAATAGGTCAGGTTATGTCAAATTTTATTGGTCAATAAAATTTTTAATTTCAAAAATGACCATTTTTGTCTTTGTGTGGAATCATAAATTGTTAATTATGGTATTTTGATCTAAATTATTCCAACGTGGACATTTTTTCAAGGATTTACAGTAGTGGACATTTTTACCAATGGATATGTGAAAATGAACATTTCTAATAATTTCCTCTAATGTTATTTAGGCCCTATTTGAACCCCATTTTTTTTCATTATTTTTTCATAAAACTTATTTTCAATTACACATCCTTTATTAAAATAATATTACACGTAAATAAAAAAATTTCCTTCTTTTTTAATCATATATTTTCCATCAATTTACTATTTCATAATATATTACAAGAAATTAATGGGGCTCAAACGTTCTATCTAGCTAAAAATTAAATTTTTTAATAAAAATTAATAAAATAAATAATTGAAAAGTTATGCATATTTGATACTAATTATTGATTTTAATTTGACTTAATATCAATGTTGTTTAACATAAGTCTGAACACTAGTAATTGTGATATTAAATAAAAAGTTCAATTAAATATAATGATTTGTGATTTATTTAATTGGACCTATAATATGCTGACATTTAAACACCACTGATGCTAGATAACATTACTAAATGCCGAAAATGTTGTTAAACTTGGACAAAGTTATACGTACCCAAAAACAAATTAGGAGAGAAGAACGGAATGCAAATAAATCGAAATAGGTTAAGGCAAGAGTTTGACTATTTTCTCCTTAAGATGATTGAATAGCATTATTCTTCATTTAACTGCACGTGTATATCATGTACAGCGATTATCGATAGCATTCACTATGAATAACATTACTCTAATGAAAAATGGTATTAAATGACTTGTTTCATTTAACCTATCATTTAATATCATATTAACGTCACATAGGCTATAGTTATAATCCCAATATGGCTAAATAACATTATTCAAACATAATACTTCCAATTTTTCAATATGGGATAGACACTTCCTTTTTTTTCTTTTTTTAAATCAAATTTCAATTCCTACTATTTTAAGGTCAAGTGACTTACTTACAATTACTCATTCACCTGAAATTAATTTCGAGAAAAATAAACATAATATGTTCATCTACTCATGAAGTATAACACACTAAGCCGGAGTAATCTCTTATCCAACTAATAGGATCCACTCAACTAATTGGGAAAAAATTGGTCAAACCAAACTTATTAAATAACCAACTTCCAAAGTTATAGAGCAAAACAATGAAATCATTTTAATGTTTCTTTTCAATTAAATTGACAGATGCATGTGGTTTTAAGATTGACATCTAAATTCAAATATTTAAATATATTAAAAATCGAGAACTTCACTTAAATGTTGATAACTTATAATCACACCACTTTCGTTGAGGAGTTTAGGTTATCTTCAACGCTGCACAGTTTTGCACCAAATTAAAATTCATTTACAACCATTAAACTAAAAGTTACGTCAAATGAGCAATGTTTAACCATTTTCTTCCCTTTTTTATTCTTTATAACTTATTTATTTGAAATATTATTTATTTAATTATTTTATAAATACATAAATTACTAAATAAATAATTACGTTAAATTACAGGGCAAAAGAGACTTTATACACTTTGCACCATTGGAATTGCCCTATTTGATGTTACCATTGGAGTTGCCCTTAGAGATAGGGTTTTTAGTCATGTATTATCACATCGACCATTTTGTTGATTTTGAGTATATTAATTTTTTCCATTGATTGCTTTAACATTGACAATCAATACATTTTTCTTTCTTTCGTCAGGTTTTGTATTGAAGTAAATATAATCCATCGTGGCTTACTCAATTTCAGTTAATTAATGGCATGTCAAAATATTTTCTAAATCTAAATATCTGAAAACTCATTTTCAATCACAAATTATTTCAATAAAATAATCTACACATAAATTCAATTTTTTTTAATGTGAATTTTGTTAATATACTAAAATTTTTGTCACTGCCAAGCAGACCGGCAATTTCTTGTGGAAATAATTTTATTCTTTCTTTAATCATATCGAATTATTGTAGTAATTTAGTGCATGTTTAGTATTGATTTTATTTAAAAAAAATAAATTTTTTAACAATTATTTTACTATATCAACTGTCATTTTTTACGTCGTCTCTCATAATTGGGACCACTTTTCTCTCTAACAATCAAAAAATCAATTCTCAATAATCACTACCGAACAAATTCATACGGCAACTTCTGGCATAATCGACAGTGTACCCCCTCCTCCAGTGCAGCTGCCAGCCAGAAGCAAAATAATAATTTCAACTGCCAATAATTGCACAACTTACAACTGCAGGGATTTAAAGATTAAAATATGCATAACAAACAAAAATTATTAAACGTCGACAGCAGGGTTCGAACCTGCGCGGGCGGAGCCCAACAGATTTCAAGTCTGTCTCCTTAACCACTCGGACATATCGACTTATGTCTGTTCTTCACATGTATTCTTTAATTCATTATATATTCTTCACATGTATATCCATATCTACAGTATAGACCTAAGATAACACAATTAAAAGGTGTTCAGTGGTCTATAGAACGTGAAACACTGTAGATATGGATTGTTATCGTAAAATTTGTTCATTCCATTTCTAGAAGAATATTGAAGCCAATGTTATTAAAATTGAATTGGACTGGTTGATTCAACTGAAAATTCAGAGACTGGACCAAAATCGATTGATTAAAGCTTAAAATCCACTTATTTGAAAACCAATAAAAAATCGATCAATTTTCTATTTTTTCACTATTGTACAAATAATTAATTATATTTTTTATTACGTTAATTAATCATTTTCTTTCTTTTACTAATCAATAAAAATTAAAAACTCTGCAAATATTTCAATCATTTTTATTATACTATATCTTGTTTATCATTCGAAAATATATTTATTATCTTCACGTTTTAACTACCTGGTTCAACACCTGTTCAACTCTTTGACCCATGACATTTTCACTTTTTCAAATCAATGTTCAATCCGATTTTTTAAACATTGATTGAAACGCTATTTAAAAGATCATTGCAAGGTTACAAAAATTGCATCTAATAACGTTTAAAATGAATTCACTATTGAGCTTATGTCGATACTGAATTGCAGTACCGTCTATTTTGTGGGGGTGGAGTGTTTTGAGTTGGAACACTCTCAGTAGATTTGCAAGTCATAATGGTGACTTCGTAGAGCGAAGGTAGAGGTAAAAAACCTGTAATTCGTTTTCATGATTTTTTTTCACGATCGAGAAGGAAAATATAGGTTCATGGAAAATCCACAACCTTAGTTATTTCATATGGGCGTTCGGTGCTTGTCCCTTTAGAATCTTCCTGTCAAAAATTAAATTAAAATCTTAATTTAAAATCGATTATGTAACATTAAATAATTGATAAACATCATGCGTAATCGTTAGTTATGAACTTGGAATAAGTACAATATCAGTGGAAAATGATGGCTGTCACTTACCGATTCTCTCATCAGCAATTTCTGTTAAGTACATGTAATGGAATTGAACGAAGTCACTCGTTTGAAATTAAGGTCTTGAGCCCTATTAATTTGAAAAAATGCATTATAAAATAATGATTAATAGAGAATGTGTGGTTAAAAAAGAAGGAAATTTTTTATTTATGTTTAATATTATTTTAATGAAGAATGTGTGGTTAAAAATGAACATCGAAATAAAATAACGGAAAGGAATGTAAAGTAAATGATGACAAAAATAGGCTAATTAAATTTTAATTTTTCCAATTAAATAAAATAAAAGTAATTAAAATAAAAATATTAACACCCCAAATAAAATTTTGCATCTACCAACATTTTGCTAACACGACATGACATACGGACAAGGTTCGGACAGAGAAGCCCCCCAGGGCACATCCGAGTTGGTGGAACAATCACTTCGCTGGGACGCTAGAAGCAAGGGTGGGGAGTTCGATTCCTGGAGTTAACACTGGGAGCCATATGGAGAGGAAGCCATTGGTGTGAACAAACGCCCAGTGAGGAGAGCTCTCTTTGCGGAAGGAGTCCAAATGAGTTGTGGGAACCTGGGAGCCAACAAGGGCACATCCTGCGATTTACCTCCCTGAGCTGCTGAGGGGCCGGAGGTTCAGGGACAAGGATCTAGTCGGACGCAAGCCCGGACACCTTGTAAAAAAAAAAAAAAAAAAAGTTCGGACAGAGAAAGGAAAAGTTATGGCCAAAATTATCCGAGAATTTGCTTCCAGTACGAGACGGTCCCGCCCGTCATGTTCTTGTGGACTTGGGTATCTTGGAATCAAGAAAATGAAAAATAGCCCCAAAAAATTCTCCGGTTTTGAGGGATTGTTTGGGATTAATCTCAAAATACAGGGGAACCCCAAAAAAGGGAATTTATATATATTTCATTGAAGAGGATCTACATCTTCGGCTCAAATTCATAGAATCCTAGAAAAAATCCTTATCTGTATACTCCGAATTTTTACTGTATTTTCTCGTCATTTATTTACAGCGATCAATGTTCTAGGTTTCTGCCTCTACGCAATATAAGAATCAAATTTCTTGGTTAATTACTTATATTATTAGGTATTGGGTGCTTGTAATGATCTTAATTTTTGTTTTGTCATATTGATTTTGTTTAATGATTGTTGAAGTAATCTGAGCTCGATGGTCTTAATTGCGATACATTGAAAATCTTATGATCTTGCTAATGAGCAGCATCTGGGTGGTTTCCTTCTTTCTTTCTTTCTTTTTTTTTTTTTGAAATATCACTATTAATCCCGTTGGCAATTCATCTAAATTATATATTTTTGAATCTTGATTAATTTGTTGATTTTTTTTTTTTTTGACAATTAAAATGCTGATTTATGATTGATTTTTCAGTTTTATCTGAGTTTCCATGTGTTCTGTTAATTATTTTCTGCTAATTGTCCTGGTTTATATACATTTATTTTTGTGAGTTGGGCTTTCAGTTTTCCAAAACACTGACTTTTAGAGCATAATTGGCTACGCTTGAGAAGTTACTTTCATAACATATATTTTTTTGTTAGCCAAACATGCTCTCGTTAATTGTTTCCTGCTAGTTCTCCTGGTTTATGTGCATTTGTTTTCGCAAGTCGGAGTTTTGATTTTCTAGAACATGGGTTTTAGAGCATGTTTGGCTAAGCTTAAAAAGTTTACTTTCAAAATAAGTGAAATTTTGTAATTAAAAGTAGAAAAAAGTAGCTTCCCAAACGTGTTTGGAAACAAGAAGTTAAATAAGAATATATTTTAACTTATTTCTACGCTTAGCCAAGCATTTGCCTAAGACTTGGAATCTTGTAGTGTAGAATGGCGAAACTCGCTACTGTTAATATTGTTTTCATTGTGTTAGGTGGAGGGAAGAGAGAGTTTCGGAGTAGATGGAGTGCAATAGAGACGAGGCCGCAAGAGCAAAAGAAATTGCTGAGAGGAAGTTTCTGGCTAAGGATATTAAGGGAGCTAAAAATTTTGCTCTCAAGGCTCAGAACTTATATCCTGAGCTAGAGGATATTTCCCGAATGGTTACAACCCTTGATGTTTATATTTCTGCGGAGGAGAAAATAAATGGTGAAGGGAATTGGTATGGGATTCTTGGTGTGAACCCTCAAGCTGATGATGAGAAAATACGGAGAAAGTATAGGAAACTGGCTCTTCTGCTTCATCCTGATAAGAACAACTCTCTCGGGGCTGAAGGAGCATTTAAACTTGTGTCGGAAGCCTGGAGTTTGCTCTCGGATAAATACAAGAGATTAGCGTATGACCAGAGGTCCGGTGCGAAATTCCAGCCGGGAAATTGGGCGAAAAATGGGTGTACATCGACACCATCCAAGCAGAATGGATTTTACAAATTTGTGAGAACTTCAGCTTCACGAATGAGGGTTTCAAAAGGTAATTATGTGAAGAAGGATGCCTCCTCGTCTGTTCATTCTCCACCTCATAAGAATGAAACCAAGCAACCATCATTTGGGGTCAATATTAAGAACTCGTCCAATCACAGCAATTCCCGGTGGACTCCTTTCTCTGAGACAACTAGTGCATCTTCAGCTGTTCAAGCAGCACATATGGTTCAGCTGGCCTATGGAAGAGTAAGAAAAGAACGTCAGAAAGCACAGGCTGCCACGAGAAGAGAAGAGGCGAGGAGAAGGAAAAATCACTCCTCCAAAACAAGAATTGAAGTTGAATCTGGACACTCCAATGCAGTGAAGGGAAGAAAAGGAGTCGAATATTGTTGTGCAAGCAAGTACAAAACGGATCCAGTGAATGGAGAAGGCGTGAGAGAAAGTACCTAAGAAATTCAATGAAGGAACTCAGCTACTGTGGTGAAAACTGCAGATAGAAGAGAAGCTAAAATATATACAAAACAAAAAAAGGAGTAAAATAAAATAAAATAAAAGACGGTTCCAGCCGTGTTCTCATGATTTTGAGAAAGATCAAATGGTAAATGGTTTCAGTTATTAGGTGTGACTGCCTATGATGATGATGATGATGATGATGAAATGCCTCCACATTATGTCAAATGATTTGTCCAATCTCTTCAAGGGTCGGATCATCTGGCTTAATTCAAAAGTCGACTGTTTCTTGAGCCGACTAAAATGGCATTGTTCTATAATTTCACAAACATGCTAGTATGTTAGAATAGGTGGGAAGGAAATGTTCACTTACTCTACACTCTCATAAGACGTGAAGCCATTCATTATTTCCTTGGAAGGGAGACGACTGGGCATTGTACCAGAACTGGTCCCGTGAATGGAATGAACTCAGAGTCTCTGAAGAAATGCACAAATATGAAATAATACAAGTATTTGAAGAATATAATGAGGGATATCCAAATTGGGGGGGTGATTGTCAGTCCATTCTTTAAGGTTGCTGGCTTCAGAATGGGTTTTCACCAGCATTTGAATCCGAAGGAAACAAAGAATGGCCAGGCCGAAAAACACTTGGTTTCTCACAGGTCTTTCCCATTTGCTCATAGAACAAATTAAGACCGTCTTGATTTATTTCAGCACGTAAAACGTATGAGATAGAAGGTTTAGATTTATTATTTATCCAGATTTTCATACAGTTGGCTGCAGTTATTTTTATACGAATACTGAATCAAGTTTGAAGAATTTAGTCATAAAGTGGTTTCATTGTTTGTGGCACCTGAAATGCACCCTCGCAGAGTTAGTTTTCCAGTTATCATTCTCCTCCTCCTTTTGCCATTTCTGTGTTTTCTTTTTCATCCTGGAGTAATGTTTCAATTTCTTTCTAATTGCAATGTTTAAAAGCTTTATCAGACAGACCTCAAAGTGTTAGGAATTTATACAAAGAATTATTTGTTGAGAATTGACGTGGTTTTCCAAAAGGTTAACTCGGTATATGGAATAGTTCAATCTCTTTATAAATTCATATCTACTAAAACATCGAGCTAATAGAATTGCAGTCAAGCGAGCTAACGAGCATCTACACCACCCAATCAGATGACGGCACATGTGCATACATGCGTTTGACACAATCACAACAACAATCATGCTAGGTGTATGTTTTGGTATACACCAAGTTCGATAGTTTGCCACATGACAAATTGTCATTTGTCAATTCAATTAAGGGGGAAAAAAAATTTATCGTCAACAATTTTTCTAAAACAAAGACAATATCAAGCATGGGGTCTACAATGGCTTTACCCTCACAACAATTCCATGACGCAAGATTTGTAGATATTTTATTATTTTCCCTCGTAATCTCATCTGCAAATACCTCCGAACTGTTTAATTCTCCAATCAATTATAAGTCGGACGAAAAATAGGCAAAAAAGAGAGACAATAAGTTAGATCGGTATCCAATTTGCTTCACCGCCGCCGGAGCTAATCACCTGTAAACAATGGTAAGAATTTGATCGTTTGAACTTTCATATTTATTTATAATTTGTCTCCGTTAAATATGCTTCTGATTTGAATTAGTTTTATTGAATTATGTATTGTTGTGTGATTTTATCTGGTGTGAATTGATTTCTTTTCCATTTTCTTTGAACTTTGCTCGTGATAATGAATCTGTTATCTTCAATCTTAATGTAGATTGTGTAGCGTTTGTAAGTGTATTTATTTTTCGATGTGCATGATTAAGTAAATCGCAATAGCGTTCTGCATTGATTAGTAATAGCATAAATTGTTCGGTGTGTAAATGTAAAATAAATGTTATTACATAATTAGAAAGAAGTCACTTTATGTCCGCTTCCTTTAGAAGCTCCTTTAGCAAGAGAAAATATTTCTAGAAAATTATCAAAATATGTTTAAAATATTTTTTTTTTCCGAAAAATGATAGAAATGGAAAGTCCCGATCTTCAGGATCATCCAACAAAAAACGGAAATCAAATTTGAATTTATTTGCTTGAGATATGCCTAAACAAAAATTACCAAAAAAGAAAAAATGTTAAAAAGAAGGCCTAAACGAAGGAATTTGCTTGAAATTGGCTCTACGTCAAGGGCATAGCCCCTACGTCTTGTTCGTTGGTTCGTTTCTATTCAAATTTGACTAAAAATTTGCCAAAAAATGACATTCCTAAAATTTCTCCAAAAATCGAAAAAATTGTCTATTGCCATAAAGTTTAATTCAGCATCAGAACCGCTTTGTTATCTGAATAATATCATAATCTTTGTTACTGTATTTAGGAGATAACCTTCTTTTTTTCCCTATAAGCTGATTTTACAACAGATTTTGAACCTTTTTTTCTACTGAAATGATGAATTCTTCGTTTTCTTCTCTTCCAGCTGTGTTTCAGATAATCAGGACAGCAACAAGTGGAGGCATGGCTTAGTCCTGTTGGAATTCTCTTTTGATAATGTAGTTGGCATCTTGTTGTAAGGAATTAGCCCGAATACAGAAATGCTAGGGATTTCTTTAGTTGCTGAGAGTTTTTAATCGCAATGTGAACAACTTAGATATAATTATAACATTTACTCTATCTATCTTTCCAATTTTTTCATTGTTTTTTTTTTAAATATTTTTATGTTTGTGCAATCATGTTATTATGGAGTGGATTAGGTGCAGAGACATATTTCGTGTAGACTTAAAAAATTGTACAATAGTTATAATGGAAGAGTAGATGGAAAACTTACTAAGGTTTGTTGGGGTGGTTAAATATTTAATTGTGGATGGCAAATCCACGCACGGGCTCGACTGTGCTATAGCCCGTGCCTGGATCCTAAAAAGGGAAGAATTCATAAATCAAGTATTAACTATGCCCAATTCAAAATCCAGGTTACAAATTTTTTTAGTGCAAAAATCAGATTTTAACTAATTAATTAAAAATATTTATTAAATAATGATAATAAAGCCACAGTTATACTATTCATGGTCACATATTCACAATGATAGATCACAGATTTTATTTATGGATCACATATCATCAAATTAATTGGCTACAGATTTTTTTGAGGTCACAAATCACAAATTTGATAAGTCATAAATTATGTCGAGGTCACAGATCAAAAATTTATAGGTCACAAATCCAAAAAATTATAATCACAGGTCACATATTTTCAAATTTGATAGTCACATATGATCAAATTTAAAGTCACATATCAAATAACCGGTCATCACCAACTCCACTGCCACCACCGTTACTTGCAACCACCATCACCGTGTCACCACCGCCAACGCCAACACCAACACCAACATCAACAAAATTGATGCAACCAAATCCACCGCCACCACCAAACACACAAAACAAAATCATCGTCGTCGTCTGAACCACACCATCGCCGCCTCCAGATCCACCACCAACATTGTCGCCGCTAAAAATACGAACATCGCCACACTGCACCACATCACACCACAACACCCACATGGCACCAACAAAATCAGCTTCCACAAACATAGAACTCACATCACATGCCACCAACACAAACCTGCTTCCACTCACACCCACCAACAAACCGACTTTTACACACGTCTGCGCATCGAGCCACTGTTGCATCGCTGCTGACTAGCTAGTTACACAGCACAACCACGATGACGCCGCTGTGAGCACTGACTCCGCAGCGCTCAGATCGACGATTGAAGATTTCGACCGGCTAGATTGCTCACAACACCGACTGCGAGGGCCCTGCACCGCAGCAACTATGTCGTCGCTCGACTTTCACGTCTCCGGCGGCAGTGCTCTTCAACGATGATGGAGGTTTGAGGGAGAGAGAGGGTAGAGAGGGAGAGTGAGAGAGGGAGAAGATGGAAAGAGAGACTGAGGGAGACGAGATGTGAAAAATCTGAGGATATGAAAAAATGATTAGGGTTTGTTTGGATTAGATAGTGTGGATATAAATAATACCTGATTTCTAATTAAAAAACATTTGCACCTGATTTTTGCACTCACATGTTTAAATACCAGGAATCCTGTAATTTCCTCTCCTAAAAATGTCTACTTTTTCTTACTTTTTTTTCCTTAAAGATAAATCGTGTTCAACTTCAAGGCTGGATCCGTCCCTCATTTAGGCCGCGTTTGGTACCAATTTTTTTCAAAATGCATTTCTCTTTTTTTTTTCAACCACACATTCTTTATTAAAATAATATTACATGTAAATAAAAAAAAATTCCCTATTTTTCAATCACACATTTCTCATCAATTTACTATTTTAAAATGCATTTTTACATAAAAATGGCTATCAAACACCTTCTTAATGATGAACACTACTTAGAAAACAATATTTAAATATATGTAGTCGATTTTAAATTTTTGAAAAACAAGTTTAACATGTTATATGTTATTATCGCTTTAGCAAATAGCACAATGAGAAGCTAGAGTCCCAGCACTAAGAGCATGGTGTTATATCGTGTTAGAAAATTTTTTGGGAAAAAAAAAACAAATGACAAGTTTTTTGTTTAAGCTTAAAAACATAAGAGTTGATTTTGAGTGAAATGCAATTTTTTCAGAACTTTTACGATAACGTCAAAATAAATTACATAAAATATAGAAAGATTATTTATTTAAAATCTAATTATTTACTCAAATAAAGTTATTAATCAAAAAGAAATGTGAAGAAACAAAATAGTGCTAGCAAACTAAACTCGAATGAGAGAAAACCAAAGATGGTATTTTCTAGAGAATATATCTAAAAGGTTAGGATAAAATTACGAGTCCACATACAGAATTATTTGATTAAATATGTGATTAAAAATAAGTTTAAAAAAAAAATGAATGAATTTTAGAGAATATGTACCAAAAACAAGTATCAATACTATCTTCTTTCTCAATGGTTCTGAGACATGATAGATGCACGGATGAATGCTAATGTTGATGGAGGACTCCTTCAAAGATAAATATTTGCATAATTGCATTACTGAATAGAGCACACAATTATACACAAAAGGCAGCTAACTACAAGGGTAAAACCACTTCTTTAGATAATGTCTGTAGAAATCATAAATTTAACAGCATTTGTTTGTGCAGGAGAAATTATTTTTAATACCATGATATCATCAAAAAGAAAATTGGGCTGCCAGTAGACCTTCAAATGGAACACAAATATTCCAATTCTGCCTGAACTAAGCCGAAGCAGTCAAACAAGGGTAAAATGCAGTGCCGCATGCAATCCATTGCCTCTTTCTCCCATGTGGCAACACGCAGCCGGGTACCTTAACCCATTTACCGGTCGATAAATCGTATGTAACCAGTCGATTCATTTGCCTCGATCTCAGAGATAGCATAAGCAAACCTTTGTTGCCCAGGCAAGTCATTCTAACGTGCTTCCCGTAAAAGTCCAAGCACAATATGTTTGGCATTCTGTCAACCTCCTTCCACAAAAGCGTCATCTTTTGTAGCTCCCATATGCAGACGCACGTGGCAGCGTTCTTGGTGAGCAGCCCCACGAGCATGATCCTTCCCCCACATTCTGCTAGTGTTTGATCGTTCAGACGTAGAGGCGCCGGGATTATGGATTGCTTCCATACCCCGGAAACCATATCGTAGGACACTATCCCATCAGGGTCGGAACGCATGAAGTAAAGCGTTCCATCAACGGAGACTGCCTGAGACCTAAAGTTCAGTGTCAACGGGAGCTTAATGTTCGAGGGCATGATTCCAGGACATGTCCAGGAGTTCTTTCCAGAGTCGAAGATTTCGTACTCCCCGTCACAACCAACCCAAAGGATCTTATAATCCAAACCATAGGGTTTCCTGTTCAGAGTCATCCCTACAGCCACACGAGACCAGACGTTAACTGACCTGGCCGGCAACTCTTTGAAGGACTTCGTAAGAGGGTTACATACATAAAAGCTCGTATGCCCAATATCAAGTAAACAAACGAGTCCCCCAGCTGATGCCACTGGCAACAATACTGACCTTGTTGGCAAGGCGGGAACTGTCAAGTGGTGCCATTTCTTCAAAGAAGGGTCATACATGGCTCCAGTGTTCAAATTTTCATGAGTGATGGTGTAAAACCAAGGTAGTGATTGCTCAACTTGCTCACAGTGTTGAGAAAAACTTTGGGAATTAAGCAGTGAATTCCACTTCTGACAAACTGAACGAAAGCGGAAAAATGTAGCGATTGGAAGTCTTGCCATCACAGCTTCAAAGAGATCTTCTGGAAATTCTTTCCAGATATGCTGTTCCATATTTTCTGTAGACCTTGCACTAGCAATCACTTTTCCTCGACGGGATTCCTTTCGAGCTTTTTTTGTGGGTGGAGGTTTACCAGGTTCCAACATTTTCAAATTTTCAGATTTACCAGCAGTCATTATGGGATTATAGCAACCATAATCTACAGAGCTACTATCAAGATCAAGAAAACACCACCTGCAAAACTATAGAAGGTCCTTCAGATGTTTAATATAAAATTGCAAAAAGAAGAAAAGAACAATGCAGTGGATGGCTTGCTGGAAAGATCACGAGGACGAAATAGCTTTCAAAAGCATAAATAGCACAATTATCACATGTATTAGTCACTCGACAATGGAAACGTGCATAAATTTTGGAATTTTATACCTAGATCCAAGTTTTAAATATCATAGCAAATTCATTTTGACACCATCACAAAAAGTGACATCATAATTACTTAAACCAGTTCAAGAAGTACAAAAAATCTTAAAATAGTAGCATAAAAATGTGATCGATCTCAATCCAACGAGCAAGCTGTTACTGTATTGACTAGAGTTTATCAGAATATTAAAATTTTAGTGAACAAGCTCTTTCACATACCTATTTAGTTGGCCCCTAGGTGTGCTAAGGTTAAAAAGTATTCCAGGTAACAGTCAAATATATACAAGATTTTATTAGTTATAAGGCATAAGATTCCACACGGAGAAGTAGAGTTTGTCAGCGCCAGAAGAAAAAACTTCGGCAAATGGAATTCATGTGAAAAACAAAAATTAATTCATTAAGAAAACAAATTAGAGGAGATCCATTTTCACGTCTATTCAAGGAAGAGCTTTTTAGCTCTGACACAGAGTAGCATAGGACACGTGGAGTACATGCCTTATCAAGCTTAAGGCTGGGGGGGGGGTGGAATCTAAATGATATCTGGATTGATGATAAAGACCTTTCAGTTGGGTAAAATCTGTTACCTAAGAAGAACGGATACTCCAACACATGATTTTTTCAAAAAAATTAGGACACGTTAGGTACACATCAATTTAATTTCTTAAAAAAAAAAAAAAAAATTACATTTATATATTAAATCTCTATTTTAAAACTTTTTGATATAGAACATGGCACATGGCACGTCGAACAGTTGCCTGAAGAGCATCTCTTAAGTATCCCTAGCGCATCAAGAATTTTTAAAAAAATATAAAAGAAAGGATACGGCACATGGCTTGTTAGATACGTGTCCTAGAGTGTTTGAGGAATGTTGGTTTTGACATGACACTTGTAGACGCGAACAGGCTGTCCTATTAAAGGTATCCATGCTTCATACTTCATAGTTCATTACCCTATTCATACTCTGCTTATGTTATGAGTAAGGATGGAGTAGGTCAAATGACGGTAAAATATACAAAAAGTTAGCACAAACTACATTTGGCATTACTTAATTATTTCAGATGATGAAACCCATGCCATTCTTATCAAAATACTGCCTCATTATAGGCATTTTTTCACCCACTGTAAATAAAATATTCTCTGAAAGAATACAGAGACTAAAAGATAAGTGCATGAATGCCCAAAAAAATAATAATAATAAATAAATAAATATCCCTAAATTTTAAGACAGTGAAATAAAAAATGCTGGAATCCATTCTTTTTATATGTACCATTTCTGAGCCCATATATAGAGATCATTACACTTCTAAAAAAAATATTGCAAATGCATAAGCGTGTGGAGGAGTTTGAACATGTTTATCCTCCAAAACCACACCAAGGCCAGAAGTTGAAGGACGAAATGCAATTCAAACTCAAAAGCCCCCTGAAATGATTAATTTGTAAGTCCATATATTTTGCTTCTTTCATTTTATGAGCGATCAAGTACAACTAATAACTGGATGGAGAATAATTTCATCTGTGTATACTGAGTCTTAGATGCCTTAAATGACACAGTTCTGAAAACTGAACGGATGAATGTTTCCTCACAAGTTCATAATACCAACCCCCAATTTGCAATGTAGACACAACAATAACCAAATAAATTGATTAGTCTTAGAATATCCATAATTCCTAGGACGAATAATGACTTCATGGTCGATTTCTTGCTTAAAAAATATGAAAGCTCAAATAAAAGTACAAACATGCACGTAGGTGGGCCTGAAAAAGAAAAAAGAAAAACCATGGATTACCTATACGAGACCAATACAGGCTTCGTCTTATATGGAACAATTATAGTAAGAATATGGACCTCACCAAATGCGCAAGACTTGCATTGTATATATGGTAAAGTGATTTAAATGCCTTGCATCAAATATAAAGATTGTGGGTGCTAAGAGGTGTGCATGCAGATAAAAGGGCAATAAATTTTCCAGCTGATTAAGGTCGGCATGACTGCATTTAGCAAGACAATCAAATTATAAATCTAATACAATTTCAGGGACCCACAAGCAAGACAACAGATTAAAAAGTAGTGGTTTTAGCTTGATTTTCATGGCAGAGAGTCAGGAAGATTACTTTTCTCACTAAACATTGCAAATGGCAAACTAAACTAAATTGTGTTATACTTGGAAAGGGAAAAGGAAAAAAGGAAAAGAAAAAAATGTCTATCAATGTCAATAGCTTGAAAAGAAATAAGAAAAAGTGCTTTTAGCTTTAAGAGAGGAGTGATACAAGCAGACCACTTTCTTGCAAAATACAGCAAAGAGCCCGTTAAACTAAAATACCCCAGAAATGGGGGTGAATCTGTTGATATTTAATCTAAGCTATAAACTATTCATCTTGACTAAGCCATCCTCGTGTATGGGAATTTGGGTTGTACAAGGAAACAGAGATAACAAAAAATGTATTAACATGATTCTTGTTTAAAGCCAATTAAGTAATGGAATTCACTCAAATTGGCAGCAACTTTGATGGTCAAAATTAAGCAAAGGCCACATAATGGATTAGCATAGCACCATGACCCGAACCTCCATAACCACAAAAATAGCAACAGGCGCTGTAAATTCATACCCATCAAAATTAGGATATACTGTGAAAATCCATATCACACACAAACACACACACACAACAAAACTTCCCCAAAAAATTAAAAATAGGGCGATTAAAACAAGTTTGATCATAAAAAATTTGCATTTTCAAATTCAGTATCCACAATTTCAAGCACACAAAATCGCTCAAATCCATAAACTTAAACAAATTAAAACAAATTATAGAGAGAAGGACCTGAGGTGGCGCTGAGGTGTGGATTGAGGTCGAAACTGAAGGAAGTAATTAGGAGGAACCGCAGGAGGAGAACCGTTGAGTTCCAAATACTCTTGTAGTTGTCCGATTAGTTGCCTTAACATTGCCAAACCTTCCATCATTCCATTACGCCATTGCTACCTCTCTCTCCCCCACCTCGCCACGCCTTCACTTCCTCTCTCTCTCTCTCTCTCTCTCTCTATCTCTCCCTATATGTATATGTTGTACGTATCTGTGGGAGTCTGTGTATTGGGCCTTTTGTTATTTGTCTTAGGTATACACGTCATCCGGGCCCAGGCCCATAATTGATTGCGAGTAATATTGACCGTGTACGCAAACACTTGTGCCAGTTCTTTTCCCAAACTACCCCTCTTCATTTTTTATTTTTACATTTATATTATTTGTTAATTGAAAAATGGAAGTTGTGTTTGGTAGAAGAGAGGAGTTTGTTTGGTGATTCTTACCAAATAAAAACAAAAAACAAAAAAACAAAAGAGAGAGAGAGAGAGAAGATTGGGATTGTGTAAATTTAGGGATTGTTTGAGCTCCATTTTTCTCAAAAAATGTATTTTGAAATAATGTTATCATGGAAAATGTGTGATTAAAAAATAAGAAAAAAATTTGAATTTTCGTGTAATATTATTTTATTAAAAAATGTAATTGAAATGATATCAAATTACTGTTGAAAAATGGATTTTGATGAAAAAATTGGGTTCAAACAAGGGCTTATATTAATTCATCCATTCATCGTACTGGAACATAAATGCGTAAAAAGAAATTGAATCGAGACAATATTTAAGCACGTCGTTATTCTTGAATATATTAATTATTTATTTATTTTTCGATCATTTATTAAGGTAAAAAGAAAGATCTTATTATTTCTTCAATAACTTGTGATCTCTAGGAGATCTCTCAGTATCGTTTGAATTTACATGAAATTCTAACATCTATCACGTAAAAAACAGCGAGTGGATCTTGTAGGATTCCCCAATAAATTATTTGATTTCTTCATGAAAAGCCTCATTAAAAAGACCTACTTTTTATAATTTTATTTACGCAAACAAAATTTCTCTATATTTTTTCATCCTTACCAAACACAAGTTCGATAAGCTAACTTTTATTTGCTTTATTCTATTCTTATTTATCATTTGATCTTGTTCATTGATGATATCAAATCTTGTCCATGTAAGATTGAATCAAGAAAAGAAGAATCAAATTATTTGTCCAAATAAGATTGAATTAAGAAATGGAGGTTCTTCAATGGATGCTCATACAAAGGTTGTAATAATAATAGTGCTTAATATAGAAGGTTCATGAAAGACATAATGCAACTCTTTATTTGCTTGGGTGTAAAGCAAATTCATGCCAATTCTATGCAAGGAAGGTGTGTGAGATGCCACTCAAGTTAAGAAATTGTTGGGCAACCTTAAACCCCGACCCTACCCACCCATTCTCTACCAACAACTCATCACTATTATTTTTCAATAGTCTCCCCAAACATCAACTTTCCACGAGGCCTGGATATTTAGGGAGCATTTGATCAATCTTTAGAATTAAAATCAAAACAAATATTATAGGATTGGAGTCCAACAATGTTTGGTTCAAACTCAACTACCTCGATTAAAGGGAAATCTGAATTTTATTTAGCCCCCGTTTGGCCCCTATTCTTTTCAAATTTTAATTATTGGAACAGTGTTTTTTTTTAAAAAGTGTGGTTGAAAAATAATGAAAAGTTTTTTATTTACGTGTAATATTATTTTATCGAAAATTATGTGATTGAAAATAAGATAGAGAATGAATTAGAAGGAGAATGATGGCCAAACGGGAAGTAAATTTCACTTTAATCAGGATTGATCGGCTAGAATTTAATCTTTGATAAAAATTTCAATTCAATCTCAAATGAGAATGCTCAAACGAGGTGGAGTTGAATAAAAAGTAACTTAAAGAAACTACAAACTTAATTCAAAGTCTTAACTTTTATCCAATTCAACATATTACTAGCTTGTATATTCATTACTCAAGAGTGGGTAACATATTCCATTCATGACGTCCTAAGCTTAACATTATGTTGTTCAAATAGGAGTCTCGTGCAAGAAAAATGATGAGAAAAAAGGGTTCACCAAAAAATAAATAAAGACTGCATAACTATACTTTATATACTAATTGAAATTGAAATTTTATAAATTTTTGTCGTTTGATTTCAACTGACCACCAATATATTTATCGTTTTTAAAAGGTGGACTCTTAACTATTTCTTCTTGAGAACATAAATCACTTCGAATTTTTTAAACATGGTCAATATTTTAAAAAATAGCTAGTAAGTCGCTTTTACGAGTCACAAAATATGTGACATCAATTTACATGTCAAGGGATGGAAAGGGTATAAGACATTAACTCGAAGAAATAAGGAATTAGAGCATGAAATATTTTAACATGACTTCTCAGTGTAGTCATATTGAAAAATTAATTTTGAATTTTGAATTAATAGTTCACAAGTTTTAATAATGTAAATTGTGCTTCTATTCTACATTTATTGAAGCGAAGTGCCCAAATCCACGTCAACTTTGGTCAAATAGAATTTACTTATCAATTGAAGAATACAAATAAATCATTTCAACATTGTCTATCTATGATTGGAATAGTAAGAGTCTTGAAGACTTTGTTTGTCGATTGGAACTGTCCGAACTAGATGACCTATATCATTTATTTATTTATTTTTATTTTTTATTTTTTGAAAATGTAACAATAAATTGAATCTCTAACAATTTAGTAATTTGTACATTTCCTTGAGCAAATAAGTTGTAAAGAGAAGAGAATGGCATGCCCAAAAAAAATAGTCAAGGGGGCAATCATGGTAAAGAGAAAAATCATGATGAAAAATAGGTGATTTACAAGAAGTAATAAATTTTAGGTAAGATAATATTAAATTAAATTAATGGTTTAATTTAGTCAAAAGCAAGGGGATGGAGAGTTAGGGGTAATTATTTCTCATTATGGGGAAGAGAGACACTTTGGCTTTGGTGGGTAATTCATTATGACTCATTATGAACATCATCATATTCAAATCCTTCTTTTACGTGTGCATTTTCACTCATTTTGAAATTTTTTTAATTGAAAATATATTATTTTTCAGCAGAACTTGAAGTAGGAGGTATCCAATTTATGCATTTTGCACAAATGAGTTTCTGACCTTTAATTCTTGGAAGCCAAATCATCAAAGGAGATTCAAGAAAAGATAGAAGAAAAAAGCATGTTTCCAGAATGAACGATGTATGAGTTTACGAGAGTAGTTAGGCACATCAACAAACATTAATGTAGAAAAGCGCTAAAAGTTCCCAAATCGATATGACGAATTTCACTGACTTGCTTTTGTCCCTATAGACGATATTTATTCCAATTGAGGTTAAGATGGCATGCACAATGTAAGTTTAGAGGGAGGGACAGATGGTCGTAGTAGAGATATTTATTTGGGTATTATAATGCTTACACAATTTTCTTTGTTATTTATATTTAAATTGAGGAAAAGTGAATAATGACCTTTTAGCAAAATTAATATAATAACCTTAATTTGCTAGAATTGCATCTCCAACAGTAGTGTAAAATTAGGTATAAATTGGTATATTCAAAATCACACTTGCATTCTCACTTACATTTTGGTGGATTTAAATTCAAATTTGTTCCAATGGGAATATTTAAATTTATTTTTTGCTTCTTCTGGATGTTAAAAAAAATTTATGTTAATTTATATCTTTTTTATATTTTTTGTCGCAATATGCAATTTACATCTCCTTTGCATTCCACCATGCGAAAGGTTTTCGAATACTTCGAAAATCTAAGTATCTATTTTATATTATCATTGTAAGTGCTCTAGGTTAAGTCTATTAAGATATAAAAGGAAGATTTGATTGCTAAATGTTGGGAACTCATCTTCCAACGGTATAGGTAAATTATTTGTAGTCGTTCACTGTCATAGCCATCGTATGGGCATACATATGACGATTAGTAATTTAATACATTAATATGATAATTTTTTATTGCCTTACACATCAAATAACTAATCGTCATATGTATGTCACGCAAAACGACCACGATAGTGAGCGGCTATAAATGACATTGTTCTTCACAACAATTTTTTTTATACGAAGTCATCGTTTCCTCTTCAGTCATCTTTAATAATTCCATCACAAATTATAAAACACAGGCTTAGGCGATTAATTATTATAAGGCCCTTAAAAAAAATTCAAGCATAGAAATAATAAATAATATATTTTAATTCAGCGAAGAATTTGTACAATTCAAAAGATAGAGTAACTGAATAAAAACTTGAGAGATTAAACTAGCATTATATTTAGCCTTCTCACATTTTGAGATGCAAAATTATTATTCAAACTACCCAAATCAAGTTTTTTTCAAAATTTTTTAATAGAAATCATAAAATTTTAACAATCCAGCTGATGGTTTGTTTCATAGTATTTAAGTATATTCAATTACAAGTAATTTTAGGGTCCGTTTGATTGTAAAAATGAAATTTGGATGGAAAGAAAACAAATTTCAGGGAATTGAATTGCATAAAATTTGTTTTACAGAGAATAGTCAATTAAATGTGTTTGATTGATATAATTTTTCACCTGAAAAAATGTCGAAATTTTGGATCTTTTAATGTTCGATTGACTTAGTTTTTCATGAAAATTGTCAATTAAAGGGATAGAATTTGTTTTCATTGGAAAAAAAATGCTGAAATATCCAATTTCCACGAAAACCAAAGGAAATTGAATTTCTTAAAAACCAAGAAAATATGATCACGTGGGGATAATTGGAAAACTAACTCCATGGTATTTTTTAGCCATCAAACATACATTTTTGAGTGATTTTCCATGAAAAAACAAGCATATCAAACAGACTCATGCAATTTTGATTGAATTGGTAGGACAACCTCAAAATAAGTAGAAATTCGATTTTCAATCTTTTTGAAATTATTACTCATATTGATATAACCAAGAAAGATGCATTGTGCTTTGTGTACTGTGTTTTCTTTTTCACATTAGTCGAGACCCTAATTATGACCCACAATCGGACATGATCATGACTTGAAAGTTACAAGATTACTATATTAAATAATTATATTGTTTGGAAATTATAAATAAGCCGAGTCATTAATTTCCCTTTAACTTTTCTTTAATTAAACTTGATTAATGTACTTATTAAAAGAAAATATTAACTTTT